AATGTTAAAAGATGTAATATCCAGGAGAATGGAAGTTAGAGAAACTTGGTGAATTTGGCCTGTACTTAATTCCAATGTAAATAGATGTAGAAATAAATGATAATTTACTTCAAATTCAGGTGTTTGAATGCAAAGACAGAACAGTGGCCTTATGGATTAGTATGGAGAGGGATCAGTGGCACATTTGAGACAAATTCAGAGAAAGTCCATGTTTGTTTGTTTTAAATCGGGATTTACACAAATCCCCAGAATTCAAATATATGAGGAACTAAAAGTGACAAACCTGTTCATCCTTGAAGTTGCTGCTTCTAGATTAATGTATTTATCAGAACTTAGGTGGCTGCCACACTGCAAAATTAATGCTGTTGACATTGCCTTAACTGTAATGGGTCACTCCTATGGATTCCTGGGATTTGTAGTTATTGTGACACTATAGCACTCTAACAGAAATGGTTAAATAAAACTAAAACTACAAAACTACAAATCTCAGAATTCCATAGCATTTAGTCATGATAGTTAAAGCAGTGTCAAATTGCATTAATTATGCAGTCTAGATGCAGCCTTGATTCTTTATCTGTTTTTGTATTTCCCAAATATTCTGTAAAATTTACTGCTATTCTGTAAATATTCTGTAAAATTCCCAAATTCTGTAAAATTCCCAAATATTCTGTAAAAATTACTGCTATTCAGTAAAAACAAGAATAGCAGTAATAATTGTAAGCACTCTGATGAGAAAGCATTTTTAAGAATATATATTTAAATGTGATTTTAATGCCGTTTTTCTCCCAAAAATGCTGACTAATGTGGAAATGAGATAGAATGGGAATATGAATGAAAATGGCACATAACAAAATTATATTGCTTTGGTCATATCTAATGAGAACAGAATATTCACTCCCACAAAAACCTTGATTTAGGCTGCTAGGCTAGGCACATGTAACTGGGGGGAAATCCCATTAAACTGTTAAAGTATTTTAACAGTCTTAAATACTGTTAAAGAATTTTAAGAGTGAAAACTTACACGTTTCCTCAGAAGTAGGCCTTACTGAGATTTCCTTGATATATATTTCCCCAGTTTCTGTTCAGAAAGAATAAGGAAAGCTATTGCTCAGTATGGCTATTTTGCTGAGCAGATTTTTCATAATATTACAGCAAGCTAACCAAGTAATCACAGATGATGAAGTCATTAAGCAAGTGTGTTACTCTTGTTAGCAATTCCTCTTAGTTGTTGACAAGCATATGCATGGTAGAACAGTTAAACAGAACAACAGTGTGATGATTATTTTTTTATAGAGTTCACCACAAATATAGATTAGCCAAATGATACAATAATTTGTCATTTTTAAATACTCACATAGTGCTCAGCATTCATGCCAGAGTTGTAGAAGAAGTAATTCAAATAAGAGAGACATCTGCAAGTCATACTTGTCAAAGAGCTAAAATGGTATTTTCCTAATATGTGTACAAGATAACAAACATTATCCTTTTCTTTGAGATGTAGCACAATGGGTGAATGAATTACATCATCAGGCTCTTTTCCCTGTTTTTAGCTATATTTGGGGTATTTTTTTTTCCTGTTGTACCAAGCTTGTGTAATGAAGACCTTAAAACTGGGGAATTACTAAAGTCCAAGTCTTCTATGGGATGTTTTATTCTATGTTTACAGAGGTGGCTAGGGAATAGACTGATAGAGACAAAGCTTTCCAATTATTTATTTGGGGAATCAAACATACAAAGATACTCTAACATACACACATGCACAAAAAAAAAACAACAACTCAGGAGTAAAGTAGTTAGCTTGGATAGGAAACACAAGGCTTTCTAATGGTGATCATTACCTAAAGGAGGCTGCTCCAATGATGAATGAAGATGGATAGACTCAACCATTATGAAAGCAAAGGACAACTGACAGAGCTGGGACTCTAGTCAGAATTCAAAGTGGTGCAGTGTCACTATGAAATCTAGCCAGACTCCACTGTGCCTGAGATTTGGGGGAGTACTTATACTATTAAACATAGCCTGAGGTGAAGAGTTGCTATTGTAATGCAAGGGATTCTGATTGCTATGCTTTGAAGTAGACAATTTCCAAGGAGAGGAGACAGAATGTTAATGCTATCTCATCTTCAGCTGGACACATTCTAGCTGGCACTCATAAATCCTCTATTATTCCTGTTTACCAGCTTCTAAACCTGGCCCTTTTGATCTGCAAATTGTTGTAAATGCAAATGTAACCTTTCAGGTGCCTACGTGGTGTGCACGTCTTGAGTTCATGGTAGTAGAGGCTCATCCCAACCCAGGCCTATGGCAGGGACCCAAGAAGGGGTCTTTAAATCTAATCAGTTATTGTAACACTTGGTTAAGTTTTCTCCTTCTGGCAAGGCAGTCTTGGATGAAACTGATTATCTTGACCCATCAATTATATGACTGACAGGAATACAACTACAGTAACTTTCACTACCAATGTGTGGCTGTGTGGGTACTTTTTAAAAAAAGTTTTACTAATTGCTTTTAGTAGTAGATGAAAGCCATAGGAGACTATTTGCCTGTGGACAGCCATTGCCATGATCACTATTTACTGTGCATGTATGGTTTTCTGACTATTATTCCTTGGTGAAAGTGGTATTAGGGTAGGGATCTGGCAGGAGAGTTACTTAAGCAGTGCCCCTCACCAAAAAGATAAAATGTATAATCAGGAACAGAAGGAAAAGCAAGAGGACGTTAAACATGGAAAAAAAGTACATATGCAAATGTACCCACTCACCAATATCTATACAATTTTGGAGTAATGACTATTGTTTTAAAAAAATCACACCAAAATAGTAGAAACTGGCTTGTGAGGCTCCCTTGTATATAGATGTCAATGGCTGATTAATACTTTCTTATGGTTCTTTAAAACTAAACAAAGTAAAGCAAAACATCTTTTAAATTGGGATTTTCCGTAATACTCTTACATAACAATGTACAACCCATAGTGAGAATTCCATGTCTCCCATCTTACTATATGTTGCTTAGTTCATTAAAAGTTACAGTTTAACTTCTTATCTCAGTTGCATAGAAAATTAGTAGTAGTAGTAGTAGTAGTAGTATCCATTTGATGATTTACAATATAATACAATGTACTGTATCAGAATATGATTTGCCAGAATTTTAGCTGTTCCAGTGTCATTAAAGTCCATAAAATAAAGATGTGGTACCCAAGTTTTTTCAATGTTATCTTTTTATATCCTACCTGACTAATTTGATTTTATAGGTCAGTTACTCAGCCAGTGCTACAGACTATACATTGTCTTATTGTTTTCGAAGTGAGAGATTTTGAAAGTCTTTCAACTTCTGAGCAATCATTGCTCTAGCTGGGCCTAACAATATTTCAATGAGGAATGAGTACAACCTTGGAGGAAGAATAGGGAGGCTTTGCGTGCAGCTCAGAAATCTTTCTGTTCTGCATGCATTGCATCTGCAGAGTCCTGCCTGGCAGAGCTGTTTAGGGTGGTAGGGGAGTTGACGAAGGTTCCCCCTGCACCGAACCCCCTACTTAACCCACAACAGCCTGCTGTGAGGCTTTTAATATTCACTTTGCAGATAAAATCTCTCAGATAAGAACCAACTTGAACGCCATTGTTTTGGCAGAATCCGTAGATGAGGCATCCAGGAACTCTGTTG